TTTTCGAAAGATTGGGACAGTAAAAGGCAAATGGTGCCATTGATTGGTTTCCATTTTAGCTTTTTGCCTCGCCGCTTTCAAGACATGAAAGTGGCCCAAAGTAACCTTGTAGTCTAGCGGGTTGAGTGCATTATCGTGCTAGACCTGTTGCTACATCTTTCGAGAACATCCAAATGAAGGAACGTCCTAGTAAAGAGTCCCTACTTTAGGCAGCGTTCATACTTCGCGACAGCAGTGGCGATCGCCGCGATCGTCGGTACGCGTCAGAGCGCGCCCCAACGCTATTACTTGGACCGCTCGCTTTGATAAATAAGGAAATCCAACTTGTAATACCTTTTTTCTCTTAATAATGGCTACTAGCTGGAAACTGAGGACTTTCTCTACCTAAGAGGATCTGGAATATAAGGGAGGAGATGGTTTCACCTTTTATTTAGGCCGGGATAAGTGCAACTTCATTTAATAGGTGAGCTTCTCTTTGTTTCTTTTGTTTTCATTGTTTCAATTATATAAGTGTCTTGAAACTTTCCTACTGGCCAAACTGTTCAACTTCCAAACATTTATAGTTTACAAGTCGAGTTCAGACAACAAAAAGGGACTCACCTAGAGATCAAAACAGTACTTCTTTTATGCAACATCGAGGAGGAGGAGGAACTTCATACGTTCATGTTCTCGTAGAATGAAAAAAAATAATAAGGAACTTACCCTAAATGGAGCCCCCTTGCTTTTTGCTCATTTCTATCCTGAATCAGAAAATAGAAAAGAAAAGCCATTAAGTTTCATCCACCTTTCCTTGAGTCAAAACAAACTCTAGTACCTGAGTCAATTATTGAAGGAAAAAAGCAGGAAATTAAGCCAGTTCCTCCTAATAGCACTCGGAGCGGTCCAAGTAATAGCGTTGGGGCGCGCTCTGACGCGTACCGACGATCGCGGCGATCGCCACTGCTGTCGCGAAGTATGAACGCTCCCTTGGCTCGACCAGTTTCGCATCTCACTAGATACAATGAACCGAGGGATAAATGAGCCTTATAGGTAGTAGGATGCAGTAAAATAGGGAATCAGGAGCAAAAAGTTATCATTCAAAACGGCCATGTTTTCATTACGGTTGTCTAGCTTTGGATTTTACTCGGAAGTAGAGCACCTCCGAAGGCTTGCTTGCACCGAACATGTCGTCTTGAGTCAGGATATTGCTTTTGATATATGACTTACAACCTTGATCTTCTTCTGGTCTGTGCTTACGAGGTGGGTTACGAGATTGCAGCGCCTTTTATGACCTCCCATTAGCGTTTCTAAGGGTTTAGACGAAAAAGGCAACCAGGATCGCAGGTTTTCCAGAATAGTCTATTATCCTCATTCATCAAGTATGAATGCGAGGCTGAGTGGGTCCCGAATGCTCATCCTTCCATGGCGATAATAAGTCAAGCGGGTCGTACCGTGAGCTCGCGCTTGCTACGCATGTATTCTTCTAGGCCCCATGTCTGAGTTCGCGCCAGTGTCACGGCATGGTGCCTTGCGTGTTGATGGACCATTGATTCGCGTTCTGCTCGCTATTGTGTAGCACTGTAGTGAAAAAAATAACTAGAGTACGACAACATGTTTATTAAGTCCTTATTGATGGTGTTGCAGTAAGAAAACTAGGCAGAGCTTGTTTTCAGGATGAGCCATCATTGAAAAAGAATAAGCAAAAGGAAAAGAAGAGCAAGCAGGTATCCTCTCCAACCATTGAAGTGCCTACAGTAACTGTGATGACGGTGAATTCTAAATTTCGTTAGGTTTTCTTGTGATTTTATAATTTTAAATTTTTTCGGCTTGATGTAGTTCAGATGGGGGAGGGAGTAGGCGGCAGCAGCACAGGGGTCTGGGACTATTTGAAACCAATTCCTTCAATCGCAGACCGAGGTTCCTCGCATTAAAAAAACCCATCCCCCGCTTGCCATGTTTTTTTTTGCACCTTTTGATGCGGCAGCTGCTGTCTGCGTACAGGGCTTCGCAGCAGAACCGTACCAAACGTGAAAGTAGTGTCGTAGCTGTGCCACCGCCCACCTCCTCCCCCACCCACCTCATCACTAAGTTAGCTCCAATTTCGCTTCTATACAAAATTGAGAAATTCGCTGTCAGGAACAGACGAAACACGAGAACGAAAGCGCGCCGACGATGACCGAATCACCACCAATTCAGGTTCATGAAGTAACAAGTACAGCTAATGTGAATGGAGTAAAAGGTCTGGTTCTGCTTTTAGTTTTTGTCTTTGCAATTTTGAAGCTCAGTGAAATAATGTTTGACAAAGGGTTTTTTTTCAGAAACCTCTCACACTTCGCCAATGACCTCTCCAACGCAATTTGCCCAGAATGTCGAGAAATTGGTTTCCCATACTATGCACAGGACAACTGTTCAGGAAACGCTGCATAGGACTAGACCCGAGATTATTGAAATTGATCCAAATGTGGTGAGTTCCCAAGGGAGTCCTTATGAGAGTACTGTTTTGCATGGCCATCTTCATTATTCGAATGGTTTCTGGATTTTTTCCGAATGTCTTCTGAGTTTTCTAAAGCAGGCTCCTGACATAATTGCCCTCGCTAAACAATGAGCGCAGCTTTACCCTACCAATATGAGAAGAAATTCTTCCAGTCAGCTGTCTGTGCTGACTTCAATTGCGTTGCTTTTCAACATGTGACAAAATTGCCGCACCGCGTCCGCACGCTTGCTTACCATTTTTGCTGCCACGCCGTCTACTCATGTAGAGAGTGACGTTTGAAAGCACTGTCACATTACCCTTGCCACGGCTTTGCACTCATTTGTGGTCAGCCTTTTGCGTTACTCGAAACGGCACTTTTAAAGTTCTCCATTAACTTAATACAATAATCCTGATTAATTGTTAGACAGTCATTGCCTTATCAGCAATTTTTGGCCTAGCTGCGAGCTGCACCAACGTAATCTCTTAGAAGAGCAACTGCTACACTCTTGTTCGCTGCGGATGATGAGGCGTGTCAAAACGAATGGGTCTGGCGCAGCGCCAATCCCGTTTTCCATCAGTTGCAGTCATTGGTGCGAGCAAGCGATAAATCTTTGTCGTATCGTTCGCATCAGTCGTTTTCCATTAATTGTTGTCCTTACACGCTTCGGCAGGTGGTGCAAAACGGTCTGTCGCCGGGCCGAAGCCCGGCCCTCCTGACACCCTCATCATCCACAGCCAAAAAGACTGTATCTGGCTGTTGACATTCCAGCTGCTTAGTTTTTACCTACGAAAGAACCATGATTGCCACCTTTCTCATTGGAAAGTCTGGCGGTACTCCAACACGGACGCCATATCCCGGACATGGAGAGGGCGTGACTGCGTACTCAATTTGAATGTGCCGGCAGCTTGCGTTTCTGATGATCCTTTCGATACGGAGCAATGGTTGTCATGCCTTCTTCCAATGTCATATATAATGACAGGTATCTTAAATAGAGGTCCCACTTCAATACTAAGACGCATCTTATGCTAGGTTCACATGAAGTACGCTGCTACGCCCTCCCCATTTCTGGGATATTGAATGTAGGTCCGCAGCCGAATACGATCTTCTCGATCCCCTCCTCGATGGCTTGTCATGAACCGTGACGTATCCTAGCAGCGACGTATTGATTCAGCGCCTGGGATTCTACCACGTTCCTGAATTTTCACAAACTTGTTCACTTGGGATGCTGGGGCATGTATAGAGAGG